TAGTTATATATACTCTACTACTAAATAATACTATATATATATATATATATATATATATATATATATATATATATATATATATATATATTTTATAATTATAATTATGTATCTATCTATCTATATGCTTTCCATGTGTATTGTAATCATGCACATTCATTTCTTATCGAGTGTCATATACAAGAAGATGGAAGAGTCTGGCCCCCGTTACTGTATACCAATGTACACACGTGTTTTCATATTGGCGTATATACCTACTTGTATTTTGTACATCATGTACGGACAGATTGCGCCACGTACAACGTCTCGTCACGTCTTATACATACACACCCCACTTCATTTGCACCCTCATACCCATGCTCGTATGTGACCTCCTCTCCTACCGTCACGTACAGGCGGATGTAGCTATCCTGGTGGTGGATGCTACAACCAACGAGTTTGAGTCCGGTTTTGAGACTGGAGGACAGACACGCGAGCACGCATTGCTGATCCGCTCACTGGGTGTGAGCCAATTACTCGTGGCTGTCAATAAACTGGAGAATGCGGACTGGGCACAGACACGGTTTGATGAGATTAAGGGCAAATTGGCCCCGTTTCTCAAGCAGGTGCGAGGTTTGTGTGGGTGTACTGTAGGTGTACTGTAGGTGTACTGTAGGTGTGCTGTAGATGTACTGTAGGTGCACTGTAGGTGTACTGTAGGTATGTGCACGTATTGCATATGGGTGGGTGTGATGATTGAGATGGCTGTAAAAATATGCTAGAGAATGCGGACTTGGCACAGACACGGTTTGATGAGATTAAGGACAAATTGGCCCCGTTTCTCAAACTGGTGCGAGGTTTGTGTAGGTGTACTGTAGGTATACTCTAGGTATGCACGTGTATTTTGTGATAGGTCTTCTCTTAGACACTTCGTATCTATGGCATAGCCTTATCTTTGGGGACTTACAAACGTAAAAACGGAAACACGATAGCTTCGGTCCTATCTCGTCGCACACATGCACCAAATAACGCGTTATTTTCTCTGGTGGGATTCTAATCGTCTGGATAGCTGCGTCCTCGTAATGTATACGTCTTTCTGTCTTCGACTTCCTCTTGGCTATGAAATGTGTGGTGTAGGTAGCAACGAATGTCTACACCGGTGTTTAGCAATCGCACCTCTCATGGCAGGCACCAAATAACGCATTATTTGCTCACGTTAGATTCTAATCGTTTTGATATGTGCCAAATAACGCGTTATTTTCTCACGTGAGATTCTAATCGTCTTGATATCTGTGCCAAATAACGCGTTGTTTTCTCAGGTGTGATTCTAATCGTCCTGATATCAGTGCCGAATAACGCGTTGTTTTCGCGTTATTTTCTCAGGTGTGATTCTGATCGTCCTGATATCTGTGCCAAATAACGCGTTGTTTTCTCATGTGCGATTCTAATCGTCTTGATTTCTGTTACAAATAACGCGTCATTATCTCCGGTGTGATTCTATTCGTCCTAATATCTGTGCCAATTAACACGTTGTTTTCGCGTTGTTTTCTCAGGTGTGATTCTTATCGTCTTAATATCTGTGCCAAATAACGCGTTGTTTTCGCGTTGTTTTCTCAGGTGTGATTCTAATCGTCTTGATTTCTGTGCCAAATAACGTGTTGATTTCTCAGGTGGGATTTAAGGAGAAGAACATCACGTACGTCCCGTGCAGTGGGCTGAAGGGTGTCAATCTGTTGGAGAACACGGAACAGAAGCTGCTCAAATGGTACAAGGGAGAGACCTTGTTGGCGTATATAGGTTAGTCTATACGTTTGTTTTAGACTGATTCCTGAGCCAGTGTATGAATATGTTTATGTCGTTAAATTGTACGTTTGTTTTAGACTGATTCATGAGCCGTGTATGAATGTGTTTACGTCGTTGAATGTACGTTTATGTTTAGTTACATCATTGAATGTACGGATTTGGTGCTGGACACCTTGGTGGCAAATATACACGGGTCTATACGTTTATATTATACATATACAAAAAAGAGAGATATATGCTGCTTACATATGAGCTGTATATGAACGTTTTGTATCGTTGAATACACGCTTTTAGTATGTATACCATCGAAATGCATGCTTAAGTAACCAAATACTTTAATTCTGGTTTAATGTGCCTAGAGCTCGTAATGTACGAACTTTCCAATGTACTCATATGTATCAAACACACTCAGCCGGCACATATACGTCACACCAATACCCTATACATATCTGAACCCTATATACCTCTACTCGCCATATACATCTATACCCTACACACTATATACTATACCCTAAACCATAGACTCTAAATTCTAAACCCTACACCCTACAGATACGCTAGACCCACCTGAACGGTCCATCAACCACAGTCTGCGCATGTCTGTGTCTGATGTGTTCAAAGGCGCCATAGGAGGAGCGTCTGTGCTGTGTACTATACACACTGGCAAGCTGCAAGTGGGCGACCCCGTCATGCACATGCCAGGTGGCACAGTGGGGACGGTCAAGAGTATGTGACATATATATATGTGTGTGTGTGTGTGTGTGTGTGTGTGTGTGTGTTTGTGTGTGGATTTATGTATGTAATGTATGTATGTCCGTGTATATAGCTGTGTACTATACTCACTGGCAAGCTGAAAGTGTACGACTCCGTCATGCACATGCCAGGTGGCAAATGGGGATGGTGACATATATATATATATGTGTGTGTGTGTGTACACGTCTACTTGCGGATGTATTATTCGCAGATATATATATGTGTGTATGAATGGATGTATGTATGCCCGTGTATGTATGTGTGTATCTATATATGTATATATGTATGTATAATGTTGTGTACATGCCAATGTATGTATGTATGTATGTATGTGTGTGTGTGTGTATGTATGTATGTGTGTGTGTATGATGTAGCTATATAGCAATATACATGTACAATGTATGTGTATATCTCCTTGTGTGGTATACGATCTGTACACAAGAGCCCTGCAAGAGAAACGTCGGCTAATTGTACCACACACAGAGAAAGCAATTGCTAGCCACCCTGTACCTGCCTATACCACACCTCTAATACACAAACATAACTCAACAGCTGGTATCCACAAATACATCAGGGTGTTCTTCTTGTCCACTGACCATATGTTGATGTATGAATATATGTCCTATCATCTGGTACCTTTGATATAATAGTCCCGCCTATATCATTTAACATATAACCTTTCCTCAGAGCTATTATCTGGTACCTTTGATATAGTAGTCCCTTCTATATCATATAACATATAACCATTTCTCAGAGCTATTATCTGGTACCTTTGATATAGTAGTCTCACGTATATCACATAACATATAACCATTCCTCAGAGCTATTGTCTGGTACCTTTGATATAGTAGTCTCACGTATGTCACATAACATATATCTATTCTTCAGAGCTATTATCTGGTACCTTTGATATAGTAGTCTCACGTATATCACATAACATATAACCATTCCTCAGAGCTATTGTCTGGTACCTTTGATATAGTTGTCTCACGTGTATCACATAACATATACCCATTCTTCAGAGTTAGAGGTCCAAGAGTACGTGCAAGACTGGGCGGTTGCGGGGGATGTTGTGACCATCAGTCTGGACAGTGGCATCGACATCGACCATGTGGCGTATGTCTGTGTAGTATGACCACAACTGTGTTTGTTTGTACATTGACCACGTGGCGTATGTCTGTGTAGTATGACCACAACTGTGTTTGTTTGTGCATCGACCACGTGGCTACAACTGTGTTTGTTTGTACATTGACCACGTGGCGTATGTCTGTGTAGTATGACCACAACTGTGTTTGTTTGCACATTGACCACGTGGCGTATGTCTGTGTATATGACC